GGCAGAGAGGCAGAAGAGCCAGGGAGGGACCAATAAAGCAGGGCCTTTCAGTCCGTGCTCAGGGAGCCTTTGTTGCTGTGGCTGCTGCTGCTGCTCTTGGTGTTGTGGTTGTAGTAGCTTCTCGCCCCACCCCTCTTTCCTTAGTTGCCCTCTGTTCAACTTTCAGGTCTTACTTCTGCAGTAAACATTCCCTGGTTCCCCAGATTAGTGTTGGTTTTTGATGTCTGTGTTTATTTTAAGAGCAGTGGAAACCATTGAAAAACGACTGGGCAATAGATGAGAATTTGGTATGGACTGGCATATAGATGATATATGTAGAGCAAAAGGAAGGGAAAGCATGCCACAGGACACTGAAACGGCCACCTGGAAAGATCTACACGGTGAGAAACTTAGGCCTCCTGCCAACAGCCAGAGCTAACTCTCCCGCCATGTGAATGAACCATCTGGGAAGTGGGTTCTCCAGTCCCAGTCAAGCCTTCAGATACTAAAACCTGAGCTGACATCTTTACTAAAACCTCATGTGAAACCTTGAGTCAGAACCATCCAGCTAAGTAGCTCCAGAATCTCTTACCCACAGAAACTATGATATAATAAGTGTATGTTGTTTAAATCACTAAGTTTGGGGGGAATCTATTAGGCATTAGTAGATAACTGATATAGATACTACAAAACTGTGAAGGAGTTTATAATTCCTGGTGCTCAGTGAAACTTAAGTAAATTTAAGAGCCATAATGAATGCAACTCTAAACTTCTCTAACGAGCTATTGGTATAGTGGTAGGCCCAGAGACACCTTGCTTTCACTTCCTTGCTGAAGGATAAATGGTAGTTCCAGAGATGACAAGAGAAAATTTCCTAGAGAAGGAAGCATTTAATCTAGACTTGGAACTTTAGGTTACATTTTAGTGGATAGGACTGGAAAATAGATGCCTGGATTAGCATATTGGCAGTGACAGAATATATAAGTTCTGAGAACCATAAAGTAGCTGAATAGAGCACAGGGAAACTTCTAGAAAAATAATTCTCAGAGTGGGACATCTCGGGGGTTTATTTAAAATACAAGCCCTGGGTCACTTTCACAAAGTTGATTTGGCAGACTTAATAAGGGCTCAGGAACCTCTTTGTAATGACTATTCCAACTGGTTCTCATGCAGGTAGATGATCCTTGAAATACAATTGGAGAAACTGTGTAAAAGGGATAATGAGACCTCAGTCTATAAACAAAGATTAGGACCAGATAACTGGGATTTACATGCTGATCTGGGCTATGTGGTTGATATATGATAGCCAGTGAGACACTGCTGAATTTTTAACAAGTTTTTATTATGAAAATTTTCATGTGTAAGTACAACTAATTGTCTAATGCATCTTTACATCACCTATATCTAGCAATTGTCAAGATTTTTGTACATTTGCTTCATTATTCCTTTTCAGTAGACCTCATGTTATTTCATCCTTACATGCATGTAAATGTGGTTCCAAAGGTACAGACACCTTTTTAGATAACCACATTGCCTTTATCACAGCTGGAGAAAATTAACAGTAACTTTGTTGGTATCATATAATACTGAACTTATATCCACATTTTATCAACTGTTTAAAAAAAAAAAGTCCTTTTACTATTGAATCCGAATCCAAACAAGGTCCAAACAAGGTCCACACATTGCTTTTCGTGCTATATCTTGGGCTGTCTTGCTCAAGAGCGATCCTTCCTCACCTCCCTCCTTCTTCTTTGTTGAAACTGAACATTTGTTCTATGGAATGTTACATGATGTGGGTTTGCCTTTTTGCACTCTTGTGGTGTCATTTAACTTAACATGGTATCCCCCATCTTTAAGTTCAGATTCATTTTCTTCTTTTTTTAAAGAATATTTCATAGGGGTCTGAGTACTTCATAATGCATGAAAAATTAGGAAACATAGAATATCAGTGTCTTCTTAGGTGTTAAAATTGATGAATGAGTTCAAATGGTGACAGATTGATTGCTACATTGTCAAATTCCCCCAACAAACTTTGGTCTAATTTCATTCGTTGTTAATGATTGCTTAAATACAATTTTTCATTAGAGGTTGCAAAATGTTGATTTTTCTATATTTTATTTTTTCTACCCTTATTAGATGGAATTATTCTGAAAATAAATTTCCCAGGCGAACTGAGACCATTTGATTACTCTGAAATACCATTTATATAGGATTGATAGGATAAATGCTTAATTCTTTCTCATAATTGCCAACTGTTAAGGTAAAGTTACAAACAATAGTTGACAATACTTTTTGGGGTTTTTTTTTTTGGTTTGGTTGGTAGGTTGGTGGTTTTTCATGTTTGTAAACTGATCAGAACACAGCTTAAAATAATTCATTTTGACTTGGAAGTTTTTATTTTAAATAACCTACAGAGGAATGCATTTCAAGTTAACATTCAATTTTTGGCATCTCTTGAGAAACATTTTTTGAGTTCTTGTGAATTGAATAATCATTAAAACCTGAGAATCATAAACCCATTAGATACATACTCTGTGGCCAGGCAGAACAAAATTTAACTTGAGGTTTGAGCAATAACTACAGGCCTTAGTGCTTGTATAATACTTGGATAGATGTGAATAGGTAACTAGACATGTAAAGAATAAACTAAATATGCCTGCATGGTTTTGTTTTCCTTCATTTTTATTTGAGACCATCGTAAACTTACAGAAAAGTTGCAAGCACAGTGTGAGGAACTTTTCACCAAGCTGTCTGAGAGTAAGCTGAGTAGTCCCTAAAAAGGAGAACATTCTCTTCTCTTATATTACCACAGTAAAACCAGCAGAATCAGGAAACTAACACTGCTCCCATCTATTTCCCAGACACCATTCAAGTTTTCTCAATTGTTCCAATGATGCTCTTTATTAGAAAAGGACAGTTTAGATTCAGGCATCAGATTTATTATCAGGTCTCTTTATCTTCCTCTAGCCTGGAATAGTTCCTGAGCCTTTGCCTTTCATCATCTTGACACTTCTAAAGATTACAGGATAGCTGTTTTCTAGAACGTCCTTCAGTTTGAGTTGGTTCGATGTTTTCTCTTGATTGGATTCAGATATGCATCTTTGGCAGGAATATCATACCATCTATGCTGTGTTCTCTGCATCCTAACACACGGCACATAAATTTGACTTGTCCCATTGCTGGTGATGTAAACTTTGATCACTTCATTAAGCTGGTGTCTGTCATACTTCCCCATGGTAGTAGAGTCCATCTTCTTTTACTCATAATCAATGCATATTTTCCAAGTATTTATCAAACTTACAATGTATTCATCAATCCTCTGTATGTAACAGATCCCGGCTGTCCAGGCACAGAAAACCCCCTCTTTCTGCTTAAATTTCCATATCCTGTACTGCGGCCATCGTCCAGCCCCTACAGACACCAACATTACTTAGAGTTTCACATCCCGTGACAGGAAGCCTCTGCAGAGCCTACTCACACTACTCAGCTCTGATCCCTCCCTCAGGGCAGATGGCTAGCTTCCTCTGCCCACCTAATGAAAGAGAAGGAACGAAAAGGGAAGGTGAAGAAAAAGAGCTTCCTGTTTATTCTCAGGGCAAAATAAAAGTTATTTTACCACAAACTACACACACACACACACACACACAAATCTATCTCCAATAAGCTATAGATGTGTCTGTGTGTGTTTGTGTGTGTAACTAAATCCAGTCCAGCCCCAGAGATTCGTCTGTCCAAGGAGTTCTAAATGGCAGGTTGGATCAAGCCCCTGCTAGTACTAGTGAGAACAACTTTCAGTCGTTTCTGGGCACTGCAAAACCAGGTTCTACGGAGCTCTCTCTGCTGGCGTTTCTTTTCACTCTCTTCCAGAGGACGAAACTCCTTTGGGGACGACAGGCATCTCTAAGGTAGAAAGCCGCAATTGCACTCGCCAGTTGCGTCCCACTCCCGCGCCCCAGGTGCCGTGCAGGAGAGCGCCCCGAGGTGGGGCGTGTTGGGCGCAAGCAGGGGCGTGCCCGGGGCAGGGCGTTTCTGATTGGCTTATTTGCTGAGAATACCGAAGGCGGGTCGACGCGGCGGCTGGGTGGTGCTCACCTGGGAGATGTTGCCTCAGCTTCGCCCAGACCTCTCGGGTTTTAGCGCTTCCGCCCGGCCGCGGCGGGGAGAGGGATTGGAGGGAGGAAAATGGTGGAGGAGAGCACACCCTAATCCAGCAGGGGTGGAGGGAGTTAGGCTGTAGTTTCTGGGGGTTTGCCGGAAAATCCACACGCGGTATTAAACCTGGGGCTCCTGAGGCTGAAGGGTAGGTAATTCCTGTACCTTGAGGATTCAGAATTGCCCCGAACGCAGGCGCCTTTCATTTACCTTTGGGCACCCTCCGCCTTTGGGCACTCTCCGCTTGCTCCGCATTTAGTAAGGAATCCTACGGCAGGTGTTGAAACTATAAAATATCCCTGCCCTAAAACTACTTGGCGGAGAGTTTTCTGCAAATTACAATCCTAGTTGGTGCTGGGAAAAGGGGACGAAGAGAATTTTCCAGGGGATGGGGGTCTGTAATTTGGTACATAACTGTACCAGTTTTACTTTCCATTAAGAGACTACATTAAGTCGACCTGGAGCGAGAGCTGAAAAATGAGAAACGTATTCTGAGATAGGTTTTTTTTTTAATTCTAACATTGATTTTAAATGGTGGGCGTCACTTAGCAATTATATATCTAAGAACACACATATTATGAAAGATTTATATACACACACATGTATCACATGCATACATATACATATGCCATATACATGAGAGATTTTAAATGTGTGAGCGCCAACGGTGGGAGCTTTGATCCTAGTTTGGACGCAGCAAAGGACAGGCGGGTTTCTCACCTCCCCGCGCCAGGCGGGTCCAGCCTCGCCTGGAGCCGCTCGCCCGCCCACAGTCGCACACGTCTGACCCTAGTCCGACGGCGCTCCAGCCGAGTGGCTGCTCCGCATCCCGTCACGCACCCCAGCCGCTGGCGGGGTGACACACAACGGAGTCAAATTACAACCCACAATTAACATATGAATTTACAAACTTAAAAGAGAAGAGAAGAAAAAAAAAAAACCTAGAGCGGGCGCTTGAGCCCTCGGAGAGCAGGAACTTTTTTTCTCCGGGTGTAAAAACTCTTTGATTGGCTGCTCGCACGCGCCTGCCGGCGCCCGCCATTGGCTGAGCAGACACGCGACCGGCGCGAGGAGGGGGCTGGGAGAGGAGCGGGGGGAGACACACTGGCGCGTGCCGCTTTTTAAAGGGGCGCAGCGCCTTCAGCAACCGGAGAAGCTTCGTTGCACGCGACCTGGTGTGTGATCTCCGAGTGGGTGGGGGAGGGTCGAGGAGGGGAAAAAAAGTAAGACATTGCAGTAAAGACCCGGGAAGGGTTTTTTGTTGAGCGGGTTCGCCAGTTCCTACTTTGACCCTGCGCCTCCGAGCTTCTGCAGTGCAATGTCCCGCCTGCTACATGCAGAAGAGTGGGCTGAAGTGAAGGAGTTGGGGGACCACCATCGCCATCCCCAGCCGCACCACCTCCCGCAGCCGCCGCCGCCACAGACACCTGCGACCCTGCAGACTAGGGAGCATCCCGTCTACCCAGCCGAGCTGTCCCTCCTGGACAGCACCGACCCACGCGCCTGGCTGGCTCCCACTTTGCAGGGCATCTGCACGGCACGCGCCGCCCAGTACTTGCTCCACTCCCCAGAGCTGGGTGCCTCGGAGGCCCCGGCTCCCCGGGACGAGGCGGACGGCCGAGGGGAACTGGTGAGAAGGAGCGGCGGCGGCTGCAGCAGCAAGAGCCCCGGGCCGGTGAAAGTGCGGGAACAGCTGTGCAAGCTGAAAGGCGGGGTAGTGGTAGACGAGCTGAGCTGCAGCCGCCAGCGCGCCCCTTCCAGCAAACAGGTGAACGGGGTGCAGAAGCAAAGGCGGCTAGCGGCCAACGCCAGGGAGCGACGCAGGATGCACGGGCTGAACCACGCCTTCGACCAGCTGCGCAACGTTATCCCGTCCTTCAACAACGACAAGAAGCTGTCCAAGTACGAGACCCTGCAGATGGCCCAGATCTACATCAACGCGTTGTCCGAGCTGCTTCAAACCCCCAGCGGAGGGGACCAACCGCCGCCGCCACCAGCATCTTGCAAGAGTGACCACCACCACCTTCGCGCAGCAGCCCCCTACGAAGCAGGTGCGGGCACCGCGACTGCAGCTGGGACGTCGCCGGCCTCCGGAGGGGGCCAGCGGCCAACCCCACCCGGAAGCTGCCGGACTCGCTTTTCGGCCCCGGCCTCGGCAGGAGGATACTCGGTGCAGCTAGAAGCTCTGCACTTCTCGACTTTCGAGGACAGCGCCCTGACGGCGATGATGGCGCAAAAGAACCTGTCGCCTTCGCTGCCGGGGGGCATCCTGCAGCCAGTGCAGGAGGAAAGTAGCAAAACTTCGCCCCGGTCCCACAGAAGCGACGGGGAGTTTTCCCCTCATTCCCATTACAGTGACTCGGATGAGGCAAGTTAGGAAGGTGACAGAAACCTGCAAAACTGAGACAGAAACAAAATCGCCCTTTCCCAGTGTGCGGAAAGCCCCGCGGTTAAAGATCTCCGCACCCTTTTAATTTTTGCTAAGCGATGGTCGTTGTTTAGCAACGACTTGGCTTCAAATGGCAGCTACATTTGATGGTTTGCAAAAGCAGCAGCTATTCCAAACTTCCTATCGTCCATGTTGTTTGATGAAAGCTTGCTGTTGAAGTTGAGTTCTTTCCTCCCACCTTCTGCTGCCCCTGTAGATAGATGAGATATAATTATATGTACTCCTACATAGCATCATTATTCTAGTTCCCTGCTGCCAATACGCTGCTAAAACGTCGCATCTTCCTCTCTGTCGCTGGTTTGTGTTTAATTTATTTTATGCCCTGGGCATCCATCCCTGTGTGTTGCGCGCACTAACGTGTGGGAGAGTTAGTATTTCTAAGTTGTCTCCCAATATGCATTATGAAACGCAAAGTTAATGCTTCCAAAGTGAATAACTTTTGACTATGGAATTGTTAGAAAACAAGGAACTTTGAGGTTTATACATTGTATAAACATACCCAGGATGTTTAGCGGACCGCGAGAGCATTGGCGTCTTTTAGGAAACTTGGCGCACGCACTTTATCAGCCGCTAATGCTGTGGCTCCGGGACAAACTCAACTGCCAACTGCAGACCAGTTCTGTTTTTGTTTTTGTTTTTTAAACACGGCCACTTATTATTATTAAGGTCTTTGCAAATGTTTGTTTAAAAATTAAAATAAAAAAACACATCTAGTAGTGTCAAAAGCATTTGGTCAATTTTATTTTGCTTTGTTAATGTTAGAAAACTTATTTATTATTGAGTGTTTGCGACCATTTCTACTTATCTTGATTCGTTTTTTTTTACATTTTCTACTCAAAATCATTTTATTTTAATTTAGCAAAGCCAACTGCTATTGTTTTATGTATTCCTTTTGCAAATGGTAAAAATAAACGTGAGAACAACTTTTATTTGTCACTTACTTATTCCATTCTAATCATAAGCATTAAAAGCAGTTTTAAATGACCTTGGAGACTTGAACTGTCTTCTAGTAAATGCAAATTTATGATACCTAAGAGTTTTGAAGAATAATTCCATTATAAACTTTATGCCTTCAAGTAGTACCAGAAATCCTACATAGAAAAGCACTGGTCAGTAATTAAATTGTGAGATAAAATTTATCCCAAATTTGCAGCACAATTTTTTTGCCTCTTGAATCTTTCCATTCGTCTTTATTCCCAGCCCCAACAAACTCTGCAAGAGGTTTCAGGTCACCTGGAGTCTAGTGGAGTAGTGGGAGTAGTAGGGAGTAGTGAACTTTGCCAGAATTAGTTATTCCACTTTATAAAAACTTCAGCCAAGACAAAAGGTTTTCTCATAGTTCAAATACACACTACCAACTTTCTCTCCTGTCCTCCCTCCCTCTCTCTCTTTCTCTCCTGTTTGTAGGGGGAGGAGGGGGAGGCACAAGGAGGAAGAGAACAATGGAAAAGAACTTGAGGGGAAAGTGCTATGGGGGGTTCATCGATTCAAAAATAGAAGCCTGCAGTTGTCCTAGGAAATTGTTGGGCTACACTCAATTTTTCCTTTCCTAACAATTCTGCTTTTTTCCAATAAAAATAATGTTTGCTTTTGAATTGTTCTTCTGAATTAATGCCTGTGTAGAAAACATACCTCACATTTTTGAGTCAGTTACAGAAATTAAAGTGTGCTCACTCTCATCTCAGGGGCCACAGGAAAAGTATATTCTGGATCTTAAGATCACAGATTTTGAAAAAGCTAATATAGTGCATGTAAGGAGAGATTAGAAAGTGGACTTTTTACAGTGTTTTTGGCAAACTTGAGAGTAAAATTACTTATTAAGCCAAAGATTGGGCGAGTGTCCACTGGATAAACATACTGAATTTGAGAGGTTGATTTTAAGCCAAATCC